CTCTTGAGATATTGAGATTTGACTTGGAATTGAATAGTACTTTCAATAATAATTCAATCCAAATGTATTTATTATATGTCCACCCTTGTGTATAATTAAAAAAGAATTTATTTTAAATATTTAACACAAATGTCTGCAGTTAGTTATGTTGTTAGCACAATGCATATTGTTCTTAAAGGACTTTCTAGATGCTTTATAATAATACGTTCAGCATATTCTTAAGTGAGTGTTTCCATTGTCTCCATTGACTGTACATTCACAACAATGATAAAAAGATAAAAATGTTTTTATGCAAACTTACAGTACAATATAAAAAGCTTATAGAAATCCATAAGGCCAGTATCATGTTGGGTTTTCAGAATATACTGTAGGATTACTGTCTCTTAATTGGTTGTTAATGTGCTAAAGTAGTGTTTACTTTATAGGTTAACTTGTTATTACACGTATCCCTCCATTTCATAGCTGTTTCCTCGAGTTCAAGATGCAGCAGTAGCAGAGCATTAACCAAGAAGGGGAACAATAAGATCACCACTCACATCAGGTAGTTTCTCACTTCATCGAAGGTATTTTCCTTGTTTGATCCTGAACTATGCAATCTCTAGGAAGGGATTGGGAACTTTAGGTATAGTCAATGCAGAGCTACATAGGAACAGATACATCAGTGAAACAATCCTGGGCATAGGACACTGAGACATCACAGTCTTAAAATTGGTATTGGATGGCTGCAAACCTCCAGGCAGACATTGCAAGAAATTGTCAAGCTGTACATAGTCTATTTGTTCTGAGCTTAGATAATCAAAACTAGCTGATATCATCCAGTAACTGAAATTCTTGAAGAATTATACAAAGCATTAATGTTATACTGTAATTATGCCTGACTAGTATTACTGTGGAGCCATATAAACTCAGTTTGATTCAATTAATACAGTATATCAATCATTTTTCTTGATTTCCTTATTGGTGATTGTGACATATGTTTGTTAAGCCTGGTGTGAAGGGCTGTTGTTGATCTCGTATAAATTCATATTTAAGGAACTCAGAAATCCTCTTTTTGTCAATTAATGCTTTATTAAGCGTTCACTCCCTCAAGTGAATTACAGTTCACAACACTCGCAGGTAATGTGAACAGTTGAAGAAAATGTCCGTGCATCTGTTTCTGCCATTTCTTTCCACTGTCCAGTTTAATCATTGCTTTTGATTTGAAGCAGAGAAAATTGTAGGGTGAAACTAATTCACCCAGGAAGCATTTACATGTGTAATGTTGAAGGGGGAGGATGAAGACCCCAATATACAGTGTGTGTACAGTATATTTACAGTATATACACAGTTATATACAGTAGATTGGTTATTTAATATTACCGTTTCTGACCACAATGAAATAGTGATGGATTGTGGAGAGTGAGATTCAGCTGCCCCGAAAACACAACTGAATTCCAAAGGAAAGTAAATGATTTATGTTGCCATAAGCAAGGTTCCAATTGAGAATAAACCATTTGACCCATCATTCTTTGCTTGCCAGAGGCTCGTCAATTCCAGAATTTCATCCATCTGGTTTTAGAAGGATTCCAGAGATTAATGTTAAAAAGCATGGGTGGATAATTTGTTTTCTACTCCCATACCTCTATCTAAAAAGTGTGCAACTTGGTCAGAGCCAGGATTTGAACCTCCATCAAAGGCATTTCTTCAAGTATGCTTAGTAGTCACTGCTCAAAAACAGTGCCAGTCTGTCCATCTTGGTAGAATGGCCCCAATGAATTTCATCTCTGTCTTGAGTACCGTAATACTGTCCATAATAAGTCTCATTTTAATCTAGGACCTGTCTTGTTTGTCAGTCCAAAATGAGTTTCCTCTTTTTTTTTGACACTCTGGTCCTGCGGTTACATTGTTTAGTGCTTTCGGAGACTCCAGGTAGACTCAAGAAGTAAAAGTGTTTTTTTTTTTTTAAAGTAAATGTACAGTATGCACTTTTGCTATGGTCAAGAAATTACAGCTCAGCATGTGAACTATATTATTAGCTGATTGTTTTTGGCATACATCTACTGTATCTACAACATGCAATTGGTTAGGAATTTTGTGGATTGAATGGGCCTGCAGAAAGCAATAATAACATTTTTCTGGATACTCCACTCAAAGTGTTTTACAGGTAATATGGACTATCCTCCACTACCAGTGTGCAGCATCCACCTAAATATTTGAAACACATCTCCACTGTGCAAAGTATAATATTTACAATTCTAAGGACAATCTAAATAATATCTCTAACGGGATATTATTTTCCCTTCATTTCTCATCTCTTTAATATTTTTGTAGTATTCTCTTATTTTGACATTATCAGTTGTTTTTGTCTTCACTGTACATGGCAGTAGTGTGGAGTATAGGTCAGAGCTTGGGACCAGAGAGTCCACTAACTGCCCCAACTGTACAAATTAGTCTTCTGTTGTTTTGAAATGTCTTCCTAAATGAAAAGGTGGTTTTTGTTCACTGACCCAGCAAAGTAAAAGAATAAAAATGGAAACAGTAAGTCACAGAATTCAAGGACTGGTGACAGAAGGTGAAATCTTGTCCAGCAAGTATTCAAAAAAGAATTCATGTTTATCTAAACCACACCATGCTCTTTTCAAGTCCTAATTAAAAATATCCGATATTGTCTTAATGAGTTTTGACTGATGCATTGGCAGTATAACGACTGAATTTTCCAGATGTGGTTTTGAGGTTGATGTGGTCCAGTGTATGGGAAGCTGTTTTCCGAAATCTTCTTCCTTAAAAAAAAAAAAATAATAATTTCCTTAGTTTCTACTTTAGCTTCTGTAGAAGAATACCACAGTTTTTAAAAGCTAAAGTTACTTTTAAATTACTTTATAAACAGCCTTAAGATATCATTGTTGCTTCCATAACTACCTGTGCAGTTTCTTTTATTTGATCTGACAAAAAGGCACCAACTGCTTACTGTGTATTAACTTGTCCCTTAATCAAAGCAAAATGTGAACAAAAAATCTGACTGTGCCAGAACACTCTGACATTATTAACTCTAAGTTAAGACTCCAGGACCTGTTCTGGGAGACAACTGTGATAGTGAATTATTAGATATCTGACTTCTAGAACATCCTTTGCCTTTGAGGGCAGTTTCCTGAGATTTTAAATGTTTTTTTTCATTTAATCAAATTACAGTAAGTTGAATATTTCATTGGATGTTTTATCATTTTTTTTCTAAAGTGAAACATCTTGACATATTGTTTAATAAGTCACTAGGGCTGCCTATCTAGTGTTCCATGGCTGTATTTGCTTTTTTGTTTAGAAAAGGAGACCACAATGAATAAAAATAAAAACTGCAAATCGTTTAATACAGCTTGTTGTCTGCTCTGTTTCTCTTAAGTTTACTTAACTTTCATCAGTGGTTTGTGGTTATAAGAATTGGAAAGAATAAGTGTACTATCTCAAGCAGCACAAAAAATGCATGAGCCCTACTCCAAATTTTAGTAATAAAAAATGAGTGGATAGAAACAGGCATGTTAAATTTTCAAATTAAGATATTATAAGTATATGAAGTATACAGTACAGTAAGTATTTAAGTATTATACAGGTTTCACACCCATGTCATACTTCGTATACAGTACTAGACCATTCTCAATCAAATTGCAGTACAATTCTATGTATGTTTGCAGTAATGGAATTGAAAAGAATGTGATATTTCATTGTCCTTGTCTTTGGGTATTTCAGGTTTTCTTAAAATACAAAGTTAAATTCACTACAAAACAGGCCACTTTCACCACAACACTTTGCCTTAGTTTTTTTTTGACAGAAAAATGAGTTTACTCCACACTAACTCTTTCCCTTCATTTATTGTTATTTTATTACCTTTAAAAGGACAAATGCATAACGTAATCAAAATTGTAATTTTCAAGAGAAAATTAATAGAAGAATTCCAGTAGGCTGCATGTCTAAGACTTTTTATGAAAGTCTTGGAATCAAGTCAAAGTTCATTATCTAAATCTGTTAGAGTAAGTTTGAATTTCTGAAGTTGATGCTTGGGAATAGAGCAATTTATTGACTTCAAGGTAAGCTCATTTATATCTTGTGTATGTGACATTATTTTTTGTTTTTTCCAGTTGAGGAGAAATCAGTCAAACTGTTGGATTACCTCATTAGAGCCAGGCATCCAATGGGATTATCAATCCATTCTCACTAGACAGAAAATGATACATTTTGGATACATTGCAATATTTTACTCTACAGAATTCCAATTACTAATACAACTTCTTCCTTTACCACAAAAGACAGTATACAGTGAAACAGAAAGCTAGATAACAGTCAGTATGCATATACCTTTTTTAAATGGATACACTCCTCTAACTTTCTACAAAATTAATGAGGTAGATTTAGAGTATTTTGTTAATGGGTGTTGACAAAGACTAATTGCTAATCGTGTAGTATTTTAATTTAAAAACAAGTGAATGTTGATTTTAATTAAAAATGAATGATATCAAGAACATCTATATTATACAATGTATGAGGTACACATTTAAATTAATTTTGATCCACTTGTCTAATTATAAATTGGAAATTAAAGCCTCACCCTTGAAAAGTGAGATTCATTACAATCTGCAATGACTTTGCTATCTGAGTCTCTCAATTTGTCAAGGACTGATCCTATAATGACTCGTAGACTCCTATAATATAATATCGTGGCCTCATAAGTGAATAATCCTATAAAATCGTGATTGTTTGAAAAAAGTACTGTGTAATTACATTTTTTGTTAAGTTCTGAGCAAAAAAAGCACTGGGATCAAAAGAGATTAAAAGAGACACTTCAATATTTTTTCCATTATCAGACAGTTAAAAGTCCTCACTTCATATGTTGCCAGAAACACTTACACGTGGATGACATTAATGTAATGGAGTTCAGTGTTCCAGTGAATACTCACAGCCACGATTCCGACTGCTATTGATTAAACTGTTGATTGATATTTTAATTACAATCTTTTTTTGGTTTAAACCTCTAGGTGAATGCATCCATGAAGATCCCATGCAGCAGAATTAATGCATCTAATTCCTTGAGGTTCTTCAGCACTAGTAAGTGTCCAGAGGCTCAGACTGTTTCTTTCATAAGTGCAGTGCCACATCGTGGACAGGCAATTATTCCAGCAAGAAAATTCAATTAGAAACTAGAGGGACTGCCAAAAAGTAATGAGAAGCAGACTTTCCTAGTTCCAGCTCTGTTTTTCATGCAATTCAGGTGAATTTTTATCTATTCTGGTTATTGAAAGAAAAAAAGCTTAGTTTTATTTGACCTTCTGTGGTTTTTGTTTTAAATATGAATTAACGTTTTATACAAAACAATGTTGCTTAATGTGTATTCTATAAAACTTAGGTATCATTTGATAAAGATATTTTGATGTTGCTGTTGCTCTTTTTCTAATGTCTGTGCAACAGGGTTGGTCATGAACTGACATAGTATAGCAGATCATATAAAGGTCATTCTTAAATTGTTAATTCATTTTGAAGTAATCTTTATGCTTATTAGTTTAATAAATCCAAGTGCTTAGAAAGTGATTTATGTTTGGTGATCAGAAACACATCTTTTATCTAAGATATTAAGCCATGATCCTGTTTACGTGGTTGCTAAATATTTCACTGTTTGAAAGATAAGGGGTGTTCACTGTGGTTTCTTAATGGACATCACTTTGAGTTTGCATAGTCTGAGCTCTCAAAAGTTCCACCTTATTTCAACTGATGAAGCAATCGCTCACTTCTCCTTCATTTGTGTCACCTACAGTAGGTGGTTGGTACACTTCAGAGTTAGATGGAATGGGTTTCTTCCTATATTTGAAACTCTTTGGGATTCCCTTGGAATAACAGACATCGTTTCGAAACTATAGAATACATGGACATGAGTAAAACATGTGAAGTAGTTACCATACTTACTAACTGCCATATTTTCTTTTTTAAAATGTTTACTGAGTCAGTAAAAAGCAATATACTGTAGTTATTGTTGTAGTTGAAAACGGAAAACATATGTAAAGTTAGTCAGGACAGCAGGGTAAAGCCACAAAATTAAGACCATGTGTGAAATTACCTTATTCCTTAGCAATTCCACAGATTATTTTTTTCTCATGTCTAACCTTTAATTAAAACAAACCTATGCGTCCTCTTACAGTTTGTCATACTGATGAAGTATTTCTCAACTTGAAAATTGTTAAAATCCTGCTGTTCTGTAGAATTATATTTTTTTCTGGAGGACAAGAAACCTCAGGGTGTATAATTACTTCAGGAATCCAACTAAGGAAACCTCTAGGTGTTCCACTGCTTCAGCACATGGAAACATAATAATTAAAAGTATCTATTATTGTTAAAATCATTTGCATAAATCAGAAATGTAAACAAGGTAAATAGACGCCGTACAGTATATATCAGATATATTTACATGTCTCATTGTGCTTTATAGGTTGTGGAACAGTGGCATGGAATGTAATGCTACTTTCATAGAAATGTTGGGTCCTTAGTTTGTTTTTGGACTAACATGCTTTCTGTGTGGTGTTTGCACTGGTCTTCCCATGTACATGTGGGATTGTTGCAGGTACTTCTGTTTCCTTCCACCTCCCAAATACACGCTGATTAGGTTATTCGTCATATCTAAATCTTACATACAGTAAGCGGGTTTGCGTCTGTATGAGATTTGTATTTTGTCCAGGGTGCATCACCCTGTTTCTTCCAGGACTCGCCAGTATTTAGCAGCTTTCTGATGTGAACGGATCATGAATAACTTCTGTATACTGCATGTGCTTTCTAATGAGTGATGTTTAAGATTTTACCTCTAGTGTAATTAACAGACCGTTGCTAAACTCAGGCATTTACCAGGTTGGTTAACTATGCAAATTTCAGCACCTCCTTGTCAGCTGGACAACAATAATTGACGTTTTAGAGAGTCCTTAGTCTGTTATATTTGGGAATACACATACAGTACAAGTACTGTAAATTGGGAGTACAGAAGTGTAGAGGTGGTCAAATTCTGTAATTGTGAGTGTGTTGCCCCTAAAGTTTAGTCCAGAAATTAATGGCTTTGTTAAAATTAAATTTTAAAACAATATATGTAATGTTTATATGTCATAATCTAGTACTATGAATGATTTAACCTCATCTTCATAGGATCTTACAATAAGAATTCAAAAAGCCAGCGTCATAACAAATAAAAACACACACAGAGAAAATACAAGGACTTAAGATACTGAAATTGTGGAATACAATTTCTTCTACTAAAATAAGCTATGAACAGTCCATGGGCTGGTTCTTACAACTATCAGAAAGAACCTTAGGCTATGTTGATTTTTCAAAAAATTTGTATTAATGCATCTCAAATACCTTGTATTCTCACATGTTTTAAAGAGGTTACACTCAATAAGGGGATTAATAGCTAAGACCCAGATAAATTTATCAACAATTTCAAATTAGGTGGGTTTTAAAAAAACTTTTTAGATAGGCGCACGGACATTCTTATAACAGGTCATCAGAGTGACCCAATCTACTAACAGGAATTGCCATTTAAATGCTTTTTCTTCCATGTTTGGCTCAGTGCTGGAGAATGGAAGAAAGCGGTATTAGCACATACAGTATGGTAGGAGTCTGATTGCCTACGAAGAAAAAAAAGCACCAAAAAACAAAAACCTCTCCATGTCCTAAAAGACTTGCATAAAGCCTAGAAAACGGCACCTTCTACATATCTTATTAAAAATTAGTTGACAGTAGGATGTTTGAGGTGTCTATTCCTATTCTGTTCTGTAATGGAAATATCATCATATGTTTGCTGAAAAAAACATTCTGAAGCTTAAAAGTGTAAGATGAAACAATTCTTCCACCTGCATATCAAACTGTGGTGTTAATTGGATGAAACACTGAATACCACCGTGCTCCAGGCAGTGTAGTACAAATGATTAGAAAAGGTTGATTGACAAGTTTCTTCCAGATTGTCAAATCTTCATGCATGAATCTGGCAAGAACATTTCAGTTGTTTCACACACGTCCTTCATTATGTAGGATTCTGCTGCAGAAGCTGCATTTCCTGTGTCTGTTGTATATTTATTGCTAGCTAATTTACCATTGTGAAAATAATGTGCATTGATAGTGCAATGGATGCAATGACATTGTAACATGAACCAGCAATGAGGCTAAAGTTAAGTCCCTTTCGGAAGCACTGTGGATAAGAAAAACAATGGAATGTCATCAAAAACTTTCGGGTAAAGTAAGAATTCGGTTGCTTTTCTGTCGCTGCTCCAGTGTTGTGGAACAACCTTTTTGAGACTTGATGAGAGAACGTCTTAAATTCTCTTCAAATTTAAATGTAAAACTTTTTCCAAGGTCTTCTTGCCTATGGTCAATCTGAAAAAATCCTTTTCATAATTCATGATGTACAGCGTCCTTGAGTTTGGAAAGGTGCTATGTAAATAAGAATATTATTACTAGTCCTAATAATAATAATATGAATTCCATAATTTTCAGTCCTAAGAGTCCTAAATACAGATAGCAAAGACTTTGCTTTGAAAAAAATTATGGCTGACAGAGAATAGTGGTATTCAGACACTATCCAAAAACATAACACTGTTCACCCAAATAAAATTGTACTGTATGATCAGCACGATACAAAGTGACTTGTGCAATGTATTGTAAACGGTCACATTTTTGAAGGTTCTAGATGTCTAAAAAAAAAAAACTGATCAGCCATGTTACTGAAGCACGTTTGAGATATTTCAGGGAATTAATGAGCTCACTGACTAAGTTTGTAGGAGGAGTGCATTTTCTAGTTAAAAATGCATGTTGACTGTGTCAAGGGGTTCAGATTGCAAACCAAAGCTTAAGTAGGAGGAATTTCCAAGGAAACTCTCCTTGAACTTGTTCAGGAAAGGTTGTCATAGTCTTTAAAAATCCTCTTAAGAAAAATATTCTCTATATACACAGCTGCTTGGTTCATTAAATATAAGTAGCTTACCCATAACTGATGACATTGAAATTGTCATAACATTTGTGTCACAAATATATTAACATGGCATCTGTGATAAGTAATGAATAATGGTGTAGCCTGATTTGCTAAATAGCTTGTTTTGTCAATAGCTTATATGATGTGTGTGTCGGTATTGTCAGTAGAAAACATTCCAATTAGTTTATCAGCAATTTACCGTTGTGAGCAGCTCTTGTTTCCTCAACTAATGAGTGAATAAATAAACACCTTGCTAAAGAGCTTTGCGACAAGCACTCATATTTCATGAAGTCGCTAATCACATGAAAAAACCTTTGGTATTCCATCCATCATCACATCCTTAGCTGCAAGCATCTCTAAATTCACCCCAGTAAATGGAGAACAGATATTTCCAAAGCTAATGAAAGTGTTGGTTTGACTAGGCTGACAATTAAAACTCAAAAGAAACTGCTTTGGTGGTAATGGGGTAAGAGAGTTCCTTGTAACACTATCTGCAACACAAATTTTACTTAGACTCATATGTGAATGATCTTTCATGCAGACACTATTCAAATTAGGAACTCTTTGCTTAGATTGAATAGAAGTAGCACTTAAAAAAAGAGTAAATTAAGTCTGCAGAAATAATGAGCCAGCTGAGATAGTGCTTTTTTGAGTAAATAAAACATTCACCCTCTGGACCTTTCTAACAATCAGTGTAGGAGGACACTGTTGTGAAAACCATAAAACACATAGCCACAACTGTGAGGTTTATTTGACTGTCGGTGAAAATGTGGCATGCAGTCCTATTATACTTGCCATCTGGAATGTAAAATTACCCATAGGACTGGCATGTGTTTTTTAAGGCAGGCACACGCTGACTTTTTCCCTTAATTTGCTAAACAAATGAGGTCACTTCAGGAAACAAGCATTTATTTAAAACTGCAAGGATATGTCACCCTTGTCAAATGCTATTGTATCTGTTTCATTAAAAAAGAAGCTCTGCACTGGCATCTTCAATAAAACATATGTTCGGTGAAACTCTATCAAATAAAAATAATAAATAAAAGTTTTTTTTTCTCATTTCTAATACAGAAGACATTAACCTGACAGGCTCCTTTAATATAAG